TATATCCCTATCATTATATATTAATGTATTTACATATGTACATGCCTATATTTATACCTCTTTAAATGTCTTTTGCCTCCCAATTCTTTCCTCTATTTTATTTTACTTCCCTCCTGTCCCACTATCATGTTTGACCTTCATTCTGCTCTCTGTACTTACTCTTGGCTGTATTGTCCTTGGTCTAACCCCACCAGGCATTCTACGCATTCCTTGTCATTGATTTGGGATCTCTTTTTGTGTATTTAAAAATTCAACTATTTCACTCTTCAATTCCATTATTTATTATTTGCTCTCTAGGTGTCATTAAAAGTGAGATAAATTTTTACCACATCATGCACTCTTATGAAGACCTAAATTGCTGCTCTCAAGCCAGGCCATAGGATTTTGTAAGACTTTTTATGTGAAATCATTATGCATCCTCTCTAATCCTGATTTGGCTCCTTCTGACTTCTTTTTGTTTCCTGATCTTAAAAAAATCTTCAAAGGGCACCTAATTTTCTTCAGTTCATAATGTAAAAAAAAAAGCAAAACAACTGCATTGACATGGCTAAATTCCCAGGGCACCCTCCGTTCTGTAGGTATGGACTAAATCAGTGGCATCATCACTTGTACAACTATCTTCATCTTGATAGAGCTTATGTTTAGAAGTAAAGTTTATGCATTTCTTATCTTTTTAATTCTATTTCTCTGGGAACTTTCTGAAGTTTCCTTGTATTGTAATATCAAAAACAAAATGTATAGTTTATTCCAATGTCACCAGTTAGATATGTTCTTATTTGTGTTTACGTAACTTCAAGCAGTTGTATCACAGATATAGTCTTGTATAATCACCACCACAATTGAAATACAAAACTAACTGCATTCTCATCATTATTATTCTTTTATAGCCATATCGTGCTGTCTTCCTCAGTTCTTTTTTTTAAGCACTCAGACAACTGAGAGTTATGTGAAGTCATTTCTTTCTTTTTTTAATTAAATACTTTTACTGGGGGCTCTTACATCTCTTATCACAATCCATGCATTCATCCAGTGTGTCAAGCACCTTTGCACGTATGCTGCCATCATCATTTTCAAAGCATTCTCTTCCCACTTGGGCCCCTGATACCAGCTCCCCATTTATTTTCCCTCCCTTCCCCTGCCAGCCCTCCCTCATGAACCCTTGATAAGTTATAGATTATTATTTTCATATCTTATATCCTCGCTTCCTCAGTTCTTTCCCCCACCATTTTATTGGAAGCTAAAACAGATTTCATATTATTCCATAGTTCAATCACATCAAGCAGTATGGTACAATTGCTACCACAGTCAGTTTAAAAATATTCTCTTTCTTCTTGAGTTCCTTGATATCAGCTCCCCTTTGCCCCCATCCCCCTGCTGTACTGCCCAGGACCCCTTATTCCACTTGTCGCTATAGGTTAATCAATC